TTGATGTTTTATTCTATTCTCCAACCTTGCTAGTAATTAATCAGAACTAGTAATCGACATACGAAAATAATTAAAAAAATTGTGCGGGTCGTCCCTGAGTTTATGGTTTAAGTTGGCCCGGTATGAGAAAAATGTGTGAGTAAAATCTATCGATCAATGACCTCGTTACGTTTTTGGTAGGATGCACACCAAAAACGTAACGAGCGAGAGAACGTTCGAGCCAAAATGACTCTTAAATCCGAGAGTAGTGTTGTGTAGGACTTACAAGAGGCGGTACATTCGTCCCGGACATGACGTGAAAATGTAAGAGCGGTTCGAAATTTTAAAATGTACTACTTCATATTTTATGTCGCGACAGTTGCGTCTTGTTACTCACTCTATCTCCCTCTCTACTCTCTCAGCCCGTATGTAAACTACAGGCTGAGAGATAGCGAGGCAATACATTTCATATTGTCGCGTAATTTACTAGTTTCGTTTTGAAATACGTTCGATTACGTTTAAACGTGATTTTTTTTTACTCAAATACGCACGGCACTATCTAAATATCTTTAATATCTGTAAATAAAATTGATGAATTTACGGATACAATTCTTTAAAATAAAAAATAGTAAATACAAAATAGTTCAAATATAATATAAATAGTTTTTACCTAGTAATGGCATTTATTATATTTTCAAGAATGATTTCGTTTTATTTTATATACATAATTATTTCCAAACGTGTCTTCTGCTGCCATTAAACAAATTTTATGATAATAACAACAATGTATAATAATAATTGTTTAAAAAAAATCCAGTTTTTTGCGACGCGAAACATTATTTATGTCATAAAGCATAGTTGTCTTTAAATATCATTTTTGTACTCGTCACTTCATATGTATTGCCGAACTTCAGTTCGCCTCGCCTCATTTAAAGTGGGACATTGTACTGGCTCAGTACAAAAAAGAGGCTACTCTTACAAACTCTTTTCCAATTCATGTCCTACCCAACACTATCCGAGAGCTTAGGTGCAAAAGAATTAAATTGAAACTACAGTGTATTTTGTAAGACCTTACATTTCTTTATTAGTTAGGTGACGTTTTGCCTTTAAGTAGCTCCAAACATATTTACAAGCGTGATGCAACGAACTACAGCGCCATCTATTTTGATACATATGATATATTTATGCACATCTGAAATTGACTATTGTAAAAAGTTTAATGTAAAATATTTCGTCGATTAGTTATTATAAATGTATATGAAACGAATAAATATACCCTTTCATACAGTATCAATCTTTTTTAAGTTAAATAAACTCTTTTTGCGTCTGACTATCGAACTTAAAGAGTAAACTCCAGTCGTGCGTCGGAGCTGACACACACATTTTTTTCTGAAGAGTTCTTTTGGATTAAACAACGGAACTCCTCAATTACAAACAATACACAATTCATGTACCTATACTTAGTTAATGTTATTCTGGCTTAGTGGAAAATAACAACCAATTTCAAAAAAGCAAAACCACTTTAAAGTAAGAAATAATACAAATCTACACTAATTTTTTTTTAGTCCAAATTAACATATGGAGTTGGTGCCAAGCTTATTGATAGATCTGAGTTATGTTATCGTTTACTGTTTGGGTCCTCACGCCACAGACACCAAATGTAAATTTGACTTTAAATGAAGTTTACCTAAGAGATGCGTTAAAATCTAATGCTCTGTGTATAAGAGTAAAGAATTGTTTTATTTCTTAATATTTAGTGGTTTTGTTTTTATAAAGTTGGTTCTTATTTTATTTAAAAAAGTTTTGTGTGTTCTCAGATTAGCCGGGCACCGATTTGGAAAATTCTACTACGCATGTGGTCCCATGGTCATCAAGTCATTATTTCATGATCCTTGCAAATCGCAGAAGTATTTCAAATGTTATAGGCACAAGATTGTTATAATTTAGATATTTGGAGGAAAGTGCCGGTGAAGTGAGACTGATGATAACTTATAAGACTCTTAATGCTGTTAAATTTGCTTTAAATATACATAAGTAAACATATAATTTAAAATAAGTAGGGTACAGCGGATTTTCCACTCGAACCAGAGCGCCCGTCTGTGGAAGCAACCTCCACCTCACAGAAGATCGCAGTAAAATACCACTACCATTTGGTGGTGTTCTGTTTATGCTGGTGAGTATGATTCCAGGCCTCCAAGGCTACGCGGGGTAGGCATTGGGTTCAGGCCGGCAAGGTGAGGATTGCTGGAGCGTCACAATTTTTGCCGCATCATGTAGCTTCGCTACTGTTCTGCATTTACATTTACAGGTCGCAGCACGTAACTCTAGCGCTGAACAAAAATTGACAACAGTGTATCCTTGTCATTCTCTATACAAAATGAAAAGAAAAGACTGATGTTAAATTTAGTTTTTAAAAAAATGTGTGTTTTTAAATATTGTATTTTAAATAAATATTTTTAATATTGTTGGGGGGTTTTTGCTTTTAAAACCTGTATTTTGGGGGGATTTCGGGAAAGTTTTGGGGGTAAGGCGAAATAGCTTTTTGGTAACACTGCATTGCCAATAAATTAAAAAGAAAAATGACACTGACACTCATGTGACACTGGTTGATTTAGAATATAGTCCGGAATTTATTTTACTGACATGACATATAAACGTAAAAAGTATCACCACGGCGATACTCATTTAAAAAAGCGTTGGAGACTTAGAAACAGAAAAAAGGATCTGGACGAAATCGATACAGACTTGAAAGAAGGTAAGTACGCACGTGGAATAATTTTAGGTTACCTTTACGTCTTGCAACAGCAACTCCAAAACAGGTTATTTAGCAACATCGAGTTTTTTAATCACATTGAAGAAAAATTACGTAAGTTTATGTTTGTTTACAGATAATGCTGAGAAGTTATTGAATCAAGATGTTGATCTAGATCTGCCTGGAGCAGCACAACATTATTGCCTACATTGTGCTCGATATTTCATTGACGAGCACTCTCTAAATGAACATTTTAAAACAAAGGTTCATAAGAGAAGATTGAAAGCATTAGAATTGGAACCATACAGCATCGAGGAGTCGGAACGTGCAGCTGGACACGGAAATTTTAAATTGCCTACCAAACGAAAAATTGATACGCAGAATTCAAAGAAAAATGACACAATAGATAATGATGGAGACACTATTTTAGATGAAGTAAGCCCAAAAAAGAGTAAGAAAATAAACGATAATGTTATTTAATAAATTATTTAAGTATACAGCATTTAGAATAAAACAACTGGATTATAATTCATCTTTTGTGAGAAAATCAGCTTTGTTTATTAATGGTGCAAAAGCAACAGAAAACTATGTATATATTGTCCCTTATGTTGATTTTGAAGAATGTGCAAAACGGAAGGATTTAATTCAAGATGAATTAAAGATAAGAAAATCTGACATAAGTTTTAATAAAATAGAAAAGCTATGGTCTGTGTATGACCAACTTAAACAACGAAAAAATAATTATGACCAAGAGAGACAAAAAATATCAAAGCAACTTGCAACAGTAATGAAAGAAGAACCAGATAGTGAAACTGTAAAAAAACTTAAATTACAATCTACTTTACTGAAAGATAACTTAAGGAAATTAAAAGAACCTTTGTGGTCTGCTGAGGAGGCAGCAATGGTGGAATTCTTAAAGTTACCTAATGCCCTACACCATATGACACCTATAAGCCAAAACAATGTATTGTATTCTCATCTCTCACCACCAAAGTCCAAAAAAGACCACTTGAAAGTAGCAAACGATCTTAATTTATTGTACTTTAAAAAAAATGAGAATTATTATCTTAAAGGTGATGCTGCCGTTTTTGAGCTTGGTGCTAAATTCTACATGAATGAAATGCTTAAAAAACATAAATTTATTCAATATTCAAATCCTGATTTTGTTAAAAGTGTAATTATTGAAGGCTGTGGCTTAGACCATACAAATCCTGATTCCACATTTATATTGCATCACAATGATGACACAAAAGTTAACACTGACAATCGTTTGCACTTAACTGGTGGGGGTTCATTGTGTTCTTTTATGGCATATTATGCCAAAAATGTTTTGTATGCAAAGGTATTGCCATTGAAACTTTTTACTATGGGCAGACAGTATATACCTTCTCTGTGTGCTGAGGACAGTTTATTTCATGTGAGTCAAGCTTCTGCTGTACAGTTATTTGGAGCTACTAGAAATGCTGAAGAACTTGAAAATGTGTTGAATGAAGTTATTGAATTGTTAAAATTGACATATAGTCCGCTTGGCTATCATTTTCAAATAAGTCTTGTATCAGCTGATAAGTTAATGAACTGGGAGTCACTCAGAGTAACTGTAGAAATGTTTTCTACTTCCCTAAACAGTTATACTGAAATAGCAAATGTGTCTCTCAGTGGTGATTTTATTAGTAAGAGGCTCATGTTCACTTATGTTGATAATAAGCAAAGTAATTTCCCTCATATTATATCTGGAACAATTTTAAATGTACCCAAGCTACTTGCTTGTGTGTTAGAACAAGATAAAGAGTTCAAGCTTCCTGAACAGTTTCAGGTCAAAAACTGGTCTATTTAAATCTATAACCAGGGCCGGATTTAGGATTGTGGATGCCCCTGGCCACTTAGGATTTGTATGCTTATTGACCCATCGAAATGTTATTTCTTAAGCTGTTGTGGAGGCCTCTGGGCCACAGCTACACCTGCCCTGCCTTAAATTCGGCCATGGGTAAAGGTAAAAGAACAAAAAAAAAATATAAAAGGAAAAGATGTTTATTAGTGTTTACTAGTTGGAATTAGAAAGATTTTTTTTTCCGAAGTCTATTGTGGGGGCCCCCCCTTTGTGGAGGCCCCGGGGCTTTCGCCCCGGTTGCCCTCCCCTAAATCCGGCAGTGTCTATAACAATAAAATTTAAAATAGGTGTTGTGTTTTTTAAATTAAATACAATGTAAATATTTTATGACGGATAAGAAAATATAACTATAAAATCACTTTTTTCTAAATACTACTGTTATTAAAACAAATCAAACTGATGTTCCGTAGTTAACCATTGAGGATTGGCAGTATCTACTGGACTCTCTAAAGTAACTTCAATGATATCCACATGTCCAGTTTTAGTTACAAGTACTAATGTATGTGTCCTGTAACAACAGTATTGCATTTATTAAATTAAATGATCACAAAATACATAATATAATCATAATTATTAGTTTGCAAGTTACCTTGTGCCATATCGAATTTCTGCAATAGAAACAAAGACAGAACTTAAATGTTTATATCCCGTGGGACTTCTGTCCTCCAACTGAGAATCTGGTAGATGTCTATAAAACAAATATTACTAATATTAGTAAAAGGAAGTAAAAATTTTGATACATGTATCATTTTGTTATATTTTTCTGTACCTATCTCCTGTTTTTAAAAGCATCAAGAGTTCATCAATAAGTTCTTTCTTTTGATCTATTTTATTCAATCTGCTGCATATATCTTCCAGTTGGTTTTTTCCATATGAAACTTTTTTCAAAGGATTTTCAGGTAAACAGTTGCCAAAACCTAAATAACTCTCTTTATGAACTATTAATTTATCTGTAATGTTACTGTAAGTACTAACTTTAGGATTTAGCTTGTCTGAATTTGAATTGCTGAAATAGATAAAATATAATAATTACTGAGAACATTCCTTTTTATAAAATCAAATTTATCGCAAATGAGCAATAAGAAGATTACCAAAGTTCTGCAGTAACCAAGACAAACCCATTACATTCTTTAATGTAGTTTTTCATTGACTGAATATACTCTTGTGTTGGTGTTTCGCATTTAACATAGTCTGCTACAATTTTACCCCTACCTGAAATTTTATAGGTAGCCAATTTAATTTTCTGATTTTCTTACAAAACTTCAGATTATTATATTTACTAGCAAACCAGTGAACCAAATGTTCACCAAAAAAAAAAATGTATTTAATTAATTGAGAACTTTGGAGATTTTGTGTGGTTTCGTTTGAAATAGAAATCACGTGGTTTCTCGAAAACCGGAAGTGCTACGTTACTCACATCCGGTTTGTAGTCTTATCAGACTAGTCTCAACTTATAACTTAAACATTCTCTTTATCTATCTCTTACGGTTTGGCCGCTGAAACAGCACCACGGACGGACGGACGGACTTGTCTAATAGATAAGAGATTATAAGCAAATGTGAAAAGCAACTCTAACGAGTGTTATAAATACAAAAGTGAGTTTGCTACGTTGTCACCTAAACAGCTAAGTTCATTAAGATTAATATTGGTAAAGAGATAGGTGGGACTCTGGAGAGCTAATGGCTACTTTCTTTGTGAAAATATAATTTGAAGAGGGTGCAAAGAACTCTTTTTTTTTAGTAGTGTAAAAAGTTAGATTTCTTATACAGCCCAGCAAATATCTTGAGCATATTAGTATATATATCTATGTTTATAGACTGAGAGCCAGCGGTATAGTAGCAAAGGCCTTATTAATGCTAGGTACCTACGAAATGAACAGTGAGGGAGTCTTAATCATCCACCTTCATTATCACGACTGAGAAAGTAGTATGTGATCTGCCTGTTAGAACCGATCTGTCTGTTTTTTTGTTTATTATGTATATTTAATAATATTAAAAAGAACATATCGATACCTTTGGGTAGAAAGGTCGTATAAACCATGTTGGCCAAATTGAGTTATGTAAACTATTTTTCTCAGTTTTTTTTTCTCGACTTGTAATGACCATAATTTATATTAACTCAGGACGTAAAATCGAATCGATATGTAAATTGCAGCTTTGTTTAAATGTTAGTTCCCAGTTCCATGAATTTTTTACATAATAATTAAAAGAATATATATATTAAGATATGAAAACGGCAGACAATCTGCGATAACGGTTTCAGAGTCAATTTTGATGCTTTTTGACTTCTGGGCACGCCCAAAGGAACCCTTGATGGGAATAGGGGGTTCACTTCACCTACGGCAGGTGAAATAGTATATCTATCTTTTTTTCAGGTCCGTGTATCTAGCATTAATAATGACTTCGCTACTATACTATAAGTCTGCAAGATCGCTGGCTCTTACGGCTTGTAATCGTCACACGCGGCAGCGGGCGCGGGGACAGCAGTGGGAGACTATTAAAGACAATGAAATAACCATACCCATTTTACCTTTAAAAATGTCTAGTAAGTTTTGTCTATGGTTTTACTCAATATGTTTGCCCGCTACCTATACCCCCTGGACATAATGGTCTGCCATGTTAAGCCTTGATAATATTTCATGGAAAAATGTTTACTTTGGGCATTATTTATCTCGTTTCCAGGCAAGTTCAGTAATACACCAATTTTTCTTTGTGTTGGTGATATAGCTAACCATGTGCCACCACCTGACCCAGGTTTCAGGTCTCGACCTGCAGTAAAGAATGACATAATAGTATTATTGATTAAATTCAACCCCAATAAAGGGTCTATAGCGAAACATTTGCGTCCATAGCAAATAATTTTTAACACCTATTAAGATAGCATATCTATTGGCTGTTAAGTGAAGTATATAAAGCTTCAGCATCTCAAGAAGGAACTTTATGTACATATAACTATTGATATGGGGGTTAATATGCATTGTGCGGTCCTTTCAAGTGAAATATTTTCAGCTTGGTAACATGCTCTATTAAACATAGTATTTAAGTCTTGGAATACACTTAAACAACACAAATTACTGTTTATCTATTAATTAATATCATAATATGTATTTTTTATTGCGTACCTACTAACATAGTATCAATGAGATTACTTGATAACAGACATTATATCTTTGCTTGATAAGCACTAACTAACCTCCGATTACATGTGGATCTTCCGCCCATTGTACCATGTTTTGGGTTGGTCTGTCATAATATTCATCACGATTTGAAGCCATTATTAAGCTGTAATCTCCTCCTTCATCATTCGAACCGATATATATGAACAGTATACACATATTCAATTCAGTAAGCTGTCAGTGAAAACAATTATTGCGAAATATTAATTGTACCTACATAAAACTTTAATGAGGTTTAATATTTTGTAATAAGCAAAGAAAATATCACAAGTATCAAAGTTTACCGCCCTTTTCGTGTAGTTTCCGGTTAAACTTTATGATTACTCTTCAAGGTACTTTTCCATTTACAGAGCATAATACGGCTCAGTGGCGCACAATACTGCCGAATTATGGTGACGCTTAACTGGAACGTGAATTAGTTTTCAAATACACCAGCAGAGTGCGCTAATTTCAGTGTTGAAAAAAAAGTCAATATTTGTACCTTCATCCATACTTATATTTATTTTATTAACACAGTTTGAATTGACTTTGATTATTTAAAAAAAAAATATAATGAAACGAAAGCTTTAAAATTTTTCAACAATAAATAATATTACTAACGATAATGGTGTCGATCCTGGCATGATTCTCTTAACTTAAAATTTTTAACATCAGTCTCACCTTTTTATTCTGTATAGTTAAATGCAGTTCTTAAATAGTGATGTACTACTATCGGAAAATAAACGCTCTTAAAATATTTAGTATCGTTTTTTATTTAAAGTGTTTTAGTTAGCATTAAACACAACCGGATTTCTAGTTGTGAGAAAGCATATTAAAGTAATCAGATATAAATTTTCTGAAACAACATCATCAGACTTTGCATCTATCACTTTAATAAAAGTTCGGTAATGGTGTCGATTCTGCCACGATGTTCTAAATCTAAACTTAAATTTGACAACAGTGTATCCTTGTCATTCTCTTTACAAAATGAAAAGGAGAGACTGATGTTAAATTTAGTTTTAAGTTTAGAGAATTATGCCAGAATCGACACCATTGTCGTTTATAATTATGACTCAGTTGACCGTTTTCGTTCAAAATAAAAACGGCGTATTCTCAAGCACAATACATATAAAATATTATGTATTGAAAAAGCGTGCTATCATTTTTTAATTTTGGATAATATCAATAATATTAATAAATAACCGTCAAATAAAAATAAAAACTTAAATAACCGGTATCTTGGGACAACACTACATAATTAAAGCTGGTATCATTATTTGCAAACTTGACATTATGGATTTCATCCAAGGCCGTTACTTAAAAAAAAACTTGACATTTGCTTGTGTCATTTTTGTCTCCGAGATTAAAAAACAGACCTTTAGTTTCTTATAATAGCAGTATTTTAAATAATGTTAGTTTCTATAAATAAAATAAGCTTTCTCACCCCTCAGTGTGATAATCAAATAAAAACACTACAGAAGTTACATTAAGTTGACGTAGTTGCGTGTTTGGTTTGATAAAAGTAAAATATGGAACCCGTATCATATTTTAGCCTGCCAGTGAGTACACAAGATCTGCTAATTAAAATAATCGTCGTCTTAAAGAATTATTAATCAATTCAATTTCAACTTTCTTAGATTGTAGATTCCGAATCAACGGATTTAACTCTTAGAATAAGGTCCCATGAGGGTGGTTACGATGAGGTATTGGCACAATTCCTCTCTGGTGACGAGCCTCTGGAGGAACCTGACTTAAATGGACCAACTACACTGCACTGTGAAATTTGTCGTAAACAGTTCGATAATGCGAAAAAATACTATGGACATTTACGTGTGCATTCCAAAGACAATCTCTGGACCTGTGGTGAGTTAGTGTTACTTAATCAATGGAATAAATCCTGAACAATTGACAAAAGTTTCATGCAACTCCTTTTCATAACTAGTAAGTTATTTTTACTTATTATTATCATTTACAGGCACTAGTAGTATTGAAGAGTTGACAAAAAAAAGTAAACAAATCATAACTTTATTTCTAGAGTGAATCTCAAGCAGAATGTGTGAATTTTATTTAATTTTCTCTTTTTTTTATGTAAACAACAGAGGAACCTTGCCAATACATATTAACCCTTCAATTGCGGGAAAGCCTCCGCCTAAAACACCCCCCGCTTGCGGAACGATTGCGCGGCCGCAGCGCGCGCTCGACGCGGTTTGAAATTTATTCAATAACTTTAATAAATCGTTCGGTCGACATGCAGCAAAATATTTTATTTTAATTATAGATAGTCAATGTACCTTCTTTTTTAGTAATTTCCTATATAAATTGTTTCAACCTTTTTATTTTTAACAGGAAACGTAGACAAAATCAATTTCGCACCTTAGGTGGCATAAACGCGATTTGAATAAATTATACGAATACTTGTGCTTTTCATTGATAACCTTTTCAAAGTTGAATAACTAAACAATAGATTTTTGCAAAAAAATAATATACTGTTGTAATATAATGTTATTAATAAACTGTTTTAAAAATTACTTTTTAGTTGCGAGCTCCCCGATACTCGATTTTAAAATCGTCGTACTAACGGTTGTTTGGTCATAAGAACGACTTCACCACAATGAGTGAATGGTGTATTCATCTGGGTATAAAATTCAAAAGACTTTGAACTGTATTGCATTGTATTTATTCCCAAAATTGCAAAAAATTGAATGCGGGTGATGAGCGAGCAGATCTACACTTCCCCAAACGGACTTTACTCACGAAGGCGTGCAGCGCTGCACTACAGCAATTGAAGGGTTAAGTCTTTGATTTTAGTCATTGCGTTGTGAACCAAATCATTGTCAAATGTTACTGTTTTCTTACAACAAATGGTCAGCTGACTTACAACTCTAAGCTTCAGCAATTTAATTACCTATGATATTTCTTCATTAAAATTGTTATATTGTTGGTTCTGAAGAGTTATTTACCCTAACTTTCCCCTTTCCATTAGAGAACCATAAATGCTGGGCTGGGGGTTAATGGTTAAATACTTTGAAAGCAGAATAAATATTATTTTATTTACAAATGAAATGGAATAAAAATAAATCAAAATTACTTTTAGATCAATGTCCTGATCAAAGATTTTCAACAAAGCAACAATTGATGAAACATAGCCTGGTTCATCATCCTTTGGAACGTGTTTGGAGGTGCCCTCAATGTAGTATGGCATTTGAAACCCTGTGGCGGCTTCAACAGCATCTCTTTGCAAAACATTTAGACTACAGGTACAGGAATATTAAACAATTAAGTACTTGTCCACATCTCCATGTCACTGGAATTGTCACTCCAATGAACTGGTGGAATGAAATATGAAATTCCGGTCAAATTGCTCGTATGTATTTTATATGAACTATCACACACTCTGCCAGGGCGCAGCGGGGCGAGGCGCATTGCATCGCAACCAAAACCCAAGGGGATTATGTGACACAGTGTGCTATATATAGCAAGTGGATTAAAGTCATACAGTTGCACCAATGTCTGGCAAGGTTGCGTTTAGAACCTACACTCCATTTGATATATAATGTCATTTTTAACATTATATGTCAATATTCAAAACGTCATAGTATAAAAGTTGCACTCAGGGCATAGGTATTGAACATAGCCCAGTTCACTGCTCTCAATATCCACTAATGGGATCAGATCCGTGAATGTTAAGTAAGTATTTTAGGATGCACTACAACCCGTTCTGTCCAGTCAGCAAAATATTTGTGTTCCTTAACATGGCATGGTGCTTTGACATAGCATTAAAATTTACAACAAGGTTTGCATGTTAAATCAACACTGTTGCACATTGATTATGCTGTGACTTGGAGATGTGGACAGGCACTTAAGCATAGAACAAATTCCTTATTTTTATGTCTGGTTGCTATATTATGACATTTAACTATGTTCTTTTCAGACCACATAAGTGTGATGTATGTGAAAAAGCCTTTCATAAATTGTCTGATCTCAAGAAACACAAAGCAGTCCATACTGGTTTGTATTATATGAAAAGAAATTATACATGTTTTATAATACTTTTTTTTCATACTGAAATTATTTTGTAGATGAAAGAAAACATGGATGTACAGAGTGCACAATGAAATTTAAAGATAAATCTAATTTAAAAAGGCACATGCTGACACACAATAAAGAGAAACCATTTTGTTGTAATGGCTGTGGAAACAGATTTAAACAGGTAAACTTAGATAATATAATAGTTTAAGATTTATTTTCTTTTTTAATAGGGAAGATGCATATACAATATTTATGAAAATTTTATGATTAAAATATTAAAAAAATATAAAAGAAATGCCACTGCAACGTTTTTATTTTACATAATGTTGTTTTTTAACAATTATTACGAATTAAAAATACTTGAAACGGAACATATTTTAAAACACCAATCAGCGTTTAGTGACGTCACTCCTGTTATGACAACTTCTTTGCGGTTATGGTTGTTAAAGTAAGTATTATTTTATGGGAATATTTATTGCGGTTTTTTACATTTAATAAAAATGGAAGTTGCGTTTATCAAAGCAGACTCCAGGAATTTCCCAAGAGTTAGCGTTGACATGATTATAACTTTTTTTATTCAAAGTGCAGAGTTTTTAAGTGTAGAAATGAAAGGGACAAAATTACTACGGTATGTAAAAATCGTAGTTGTTAAACTTCGTATTTTATTCAGCGGCTTCTACAAATCTTACGGCGATAATCCAATTGGCTATGTCCAAATTAAAAGGGATGGAGAATTATGTACAGTAAAAGGTCGAGTTCTCCTAATGAAAATTAAATGAAACGCAAAGCTTGGTTCAGTCCTGCCAATGTGAAGATTGTGCCACACATTTGTTGTGGGGCTCAGCTGCTAATATAGAAAGTATTTTCGTACTGCAAAAGAGAGCTGTTCGCGCCATATATAATTTAAAGGCAAGAGAATCTCTTAGAGAAAAATTTAAAGAAATTAATATTTTAACACTGGCATCGCAATACATCTATGAAAATATAATATATGTAAGAAGAAACTATGACGCATTTGCAAAAAAAAGTCAAACCCATAACTTAAACACGAGATTTAAGAACCAGCTTGCCGTTCCATGTTTCAGACTCCAAAAATCAAGAGGTTCATTTCTGGGATGTAGTATTGCATTGTTTAACAAAGTTCCCCAAGATCTGATTGAGCTTCCACTAACCAAATTTAAATCTCAGATTAAAAATACTCTTATGAATAAGGGCTATTATAAAGTTAATGATTAAATGATCGTAATGCATGGACATAGTGTTTCTTGTAATTTCTTATTTGATGGGTATGAGTCAGTTTTGTAACAGTAGTATGGTACCTATCTAATGCCGCTTCCTATATATACTAAATATAAAATTTGTTGTAACTATATATCTATACCCTAAATAATGTAATGGAAGGTGACTTCAGAAGTATGTGTGAAGTCATTTTTCAACTTGACGACTCTGTATATATCAATACAGGGAGAAAAAAGCAGCCCTTGCTGAGTTTCTTGCCGGTTCTTCTCAGTACAAGGTCTCCCGCCGTAGTTTTGCGAACCGATGGCGTAGCTTCTTGACTTTCACAAGTGCTTGTAACAGCCTAGACTGAATAAATGACTTTTCATTTCATTTCATTTTAAACTTTATCTAATTTTCGACGTCATTCTCCAACTGTAAAATTAAAAGTATGTTATAGACAGGTTTTGTAAGTATTAGGTAGGTTACCAATGCGTTTTTACGTACAAGCAGATTAATTAAGCATATAACAAGTTTATTCGCCGACTTACGTCAAAGTGATCTTCTCAGCATCGAATAATGGTCTTTGGAGAATAATTGTCATTTCTCTTCGCAGCTTGAAACCACTTTTTTTTCAGTTTTGGGTCAGAAGTTCCAGTCAAAAACAATTTATTTGAGAACTTTGTTGAAGTAGATTGACACAAAACATGAGTCAACAAGCCTTTTTTTCGGAATATTAGTGGTATTGTTATGATCACATGATGTTGATGGATAGTCCATTTTAAATTTTTCAAAAAAAATATTTCGAAATTCGAAAAAATATGCAAAAGTATGAAAATTTAAAGCCAGCAACGAACAAGTACGACCAGTGACAGACAGGAGTGACGTCATCGCAAACATAGGTTCGTTTTCGCGCGAAAATTTAAATTGTCAATTTAAAACCGCAGTTTTGTGTTTATTCTACATCTGTGGTTTATTCTACATGGAATTCTTTAAAATGAAAACAAAAATAAAAATATTGCATCTTCCCTATTTTTAGGCGTGCACCATTTTGCTGATGTGCCTATAACATGTAGTGTTGAAAAATTTTATTGTTTAATTTTATCTGTTAACATTATCTTCTCATGCTTTATCCATCCATCTAGACTTTTATGCTTTTAAATGCATTTATTGATTTTGAAGAAACCACTGTCTCAGGTAATCTGTTCCAATTGTAAACAACTCTCTTGCTAAGAATGTGGTGGTACTATATGTTTGTGCTGACATAGGCTGCAGTTGAATATTATGGCGTCTGCTATCTCTTAAAAAGTCCTTCAATGAATATATGCTTTTTCTATCAGGCAGGGTGTTAAATTCGTTTATGATTTTATTTTATATGTTTCAATAAGATCCCCCTGCAAGCGCCTGTCTTCCGAGTATTAAGGTGGAGAGCTTTTAAGTTTCTTTTCATAGGTTTTTTGACAAAGAACATTGGAGGGGAAAAGTTATGTTTCGAGTGCCTGTCTCGAAACATACCTTTGGTCCAATAATTAGGAGTAAGTGTGGAAATCACCTTGAAAAACTAAACTAAATGGCAGTTTGGTGGCTTGTCTCTGGACAATTATAAGAAGATCTATATTAGTATCCCTAGATTTATATTTCCCTATTCCATCCATAAGGAAGGCCTGTGCCCCAGCAGTGGGGACATTAATAGGCTGATGATGATGATATTAGTATTATTAAAACAGCGATTCCAGACCTGAAATCCATACTCGAACAGAGGCCTTATATATGATTTATATAATGTGATAAAAATAGTAAAAAACAAACTTAAAATTAATCAATTAATGACTTCGTATTTGCAGATTGCATCTTTGAAGCGCCATAAACAAAATTGTTCTTATATAAAACATACTACAGAAGATAAGGCAATAAGGAAGAATTACTGTAAGGTTTGTGGGATGACATTCCAGTACAATAGTGCCTTATTGGAACATAGTGTGAGGTAAAGAAAAATTCTACTGTTTATATCAGTGTTCTATAAGTTAGTAAAAGTTATAATCAAAATACATATAATTTCAGAGAACATTCTACAACATCAAACATTGAGAAATCTAATCAAATCACAATAGATACTAGGACTGAAGATAATATTGTAGATGACATTTTATCTGCAGAAGATGATTACATGACTATGTCTACACAAAATGGCCTTCTCAATGGGTACCATAGCATGCTACCAGAGCCACCTGTTAACAATATCACAGAGATGAATAATTTACATATGCTTGATGAAGAACTCCTTTATAGTGATATTGACTTTGAAAATTTTCCAAATAATCATATATTTAATATGAATACCAATGATATAGATTACAGTAGTACTGATAGAAGTGCAGAAATACAATTTGATCTTGCAGATTATGGTAGAAGTATAGATCAAGACATAATGAATGCACTTTATCACGCTAAAGCAGAAAATTTTCCTGATGAATTTTTAAATCATTCTGATGTGACCAATTTTACTGAGAAACCTGAGGATCTACTAGAAAATCCTACAGTCTCTGTAAATGAATGTGCTACAATTTTCGAAAGTGATGTGGATTTAGAAGCAAGTGCTAATTTAACTGCTAATTTAAATCAATTGATAGGAGACAATAATGTTCAATATATTTCAACAGAGGATGATGATACCTTTATAATTAGTTTAAAAAGTGAAATAGATGCTGAGCAATTGACTGATATGTTAAATATAGGCGTAGAGTTAGCAGAGGAGAACAACAAAACATCAGATGATTATAACACAGAAAGTTTATCTGATGTGGACAATTCTGAGAATGTAGTCTGTAGTGATGAACCTATAGTGATAAAAATCCAAGAGCCAGCAGAAAATGTGTCCTGTATTGCATCTTTTGAAAATGAAAATAAACAAGCAATGAAGACTAAAACAAAAAAGAAACTAATTTTTGCCTGTCGCCATTGTAATAAAGTTTTCAATAAAAGAGATAATTTTAAATCACATATAGGTGAGTGTTTATTTGATTGTTTGTAACAATAATAAGGTGTATAGGAATGTTGGGTTCAAATTTCAAAGGGAATAATATTTGTATGATGAATACGAGCAGGGGCTATGCGTGCTCGCGTTCAAAGGAGCCTCGCTAGGCCTCTAAATGTTATGCTACCAGACTCAAAATCTTCATTTATTTTTAAATTGTATAAGAACCTAAAAAAAAATATTCAATACTTGTTGCAGACTGGCTTTCCAAAACATTTCTTTACACACATACTTTATATAAAACAGGGAGGCTGGTTATACATTTTGGAAAAAAAGGAGGATTTAAAATTAACAAATATAGGTACTATTATCTAATAGTAGCTTAAAACAAAAAAAAAATAGAACAATGAACCTATAACTAAAAACCTTAAAAAATAAAATATAATAACTACAATACATTATTAAAAGGAGTCCCTCTGGGCAAGGTTCCAAAGATACTGGCAGCATTCTCCGGATTTAAAATAATCCAGAAGTAGGTAGTTCATTAAAGTAAGTTAGGCATGACTCTACCCCACCAGATGATCAGTAGTGATAAAGTCCAGACGGCAGCAGTGACGAACTGCCACACCAACCATCCTCATCTTACCTTGCTGACCTGCAGCAATTGCTCCCTCACACCTCTTTTAAAAGATCCCAGATAGAAACAGCCTGTCGGAAAGTTTAAAACAGTTTAAACCCAAGCTTTTATATCTGAATTAAAGTCTGACACCTTATAGGCCTTGTTAATAGTAGCTTTTTTATTGTTGATACTAGGCTTTCATCATCATCATTAGCCTATTAATGTCCTCAATGCTGGGGCACAGGCCTTCCCTATGCATGGAATAGGGAGATTGGGCCATGTCCCAACACGCGGGCCTAGTGCCGGTTGGCGGGTGCTAACGACTGCAGATGCAGCCGGAACCAACGGCTTAACGTGCCTTTCGAAGCACGGAGAAACTGCGAAAGTTGCTTAACTTCAACGATTGCTGCCGAACGCGCTAACCACCTGAGCCATCGAGTTTCTCAAGGAACTTTATTGTGGCGTAAAGCTTATGTTTATATTAATGTTTTGTGTGACAGCCACTCATGATTCGTCGCTACGTCGCCATAAGTGTTCGGTGTGTGAGGCGCGGTTCAGCTACCGCTCCACGTTGAACAAACACTTCGCATCTCTGCACGAACCGCGCGTGTGGAACGCTCATACCTGCGACATCTGTGATAAGCAGTATCGCGCTAATTGGATGGTGAGTTCGTTTTTCAATTAACGTCGGTTAATTCAATGTTATTTTTTTATTTATTGTTTATTAGCAACACTAACATTGCGTTTATCATACATGGATATACATATTTTATATTGGTTGTTGACTTGTAAACACAACAATTATAAGTGTTGACGTCATTCATAATTATGATCTAACAAATATAATTTAAAGAATTGAATTTTAAATCATTATATTACATATCAAATGAAATTAAATTAAGTTAGATTGCAATTATTATTATTATTAAACCAAACAATGCTCAATTCATAAATTAGAATTTTACATTTAAATAATAATAGCACTACACAAAAACAGTCTTTGTCACAGATTACACAACTTCCGTTTAAATGTTGACAAAGTATCACAAAATACATCAATACCAGCATTACTCACATATAGTTCGTTGTATGTTCTACATATTCGTGGTATAGGTGAGTATGTTCTTGGCTCACTTCGATTCAGTTACAGGTAGAGTATGAGGAGGAGATGTGCTGGTACAGACAGCTCCATAAAAATCGAAGTGTGAAGACTGATCCAAATTATCTAAGATACATAAATTCTAATTTATATGCTCTGTTAGATAATCTTATTATTGTTACCGGCTAGAGTGGTGATTATAGTGCCAGTTTCTTAGCAAATGCCAAATAGAATTAATGTGAGCTAATTTTGGTTGTAAGGGTGAGAATTAATTTTACGCTCTGTAGTTACGGTATTTAATTTCAAGCTCTGTTTATGTCTGGTGTTAAAATAGGCCCGGGCACGAATTTTGATAGCTCCTTAATCGTATCGCATTGTCAAAGTTAACAATACTAAGCAGCGATAGAGGTATCGGACCTACAAACTAGTTATTTCCATACAAAATTTGACGATACGATTACGGAGATGTTAAAATTCGTGCTTAGGCCCCAATTCTAAACTTATTAACGTTTCGAGAAATTCACCCATTCCCTGCGCGTTTCTAATAATCGAGCTCATAATAAAGAAGTAAATTTTATTTCAGTTGGTAGCCCACATTCAGCGAGATCACGATGGCTTAACACCGTATGAATGCGACAAAAAAGGTTGTGGAAAGAAGTTCTTCAAAAAATGTGACTTGGTTGTACATAAGAGGTATATACTTACCTTTGTTTAATGTTTTAGCTAATATTTATTCCACAGAATATCAGCGTTGCCTTTGGTTATAGTGCGATACAAACTATAAGTAGGTCGTGAAGTTAGTAGCGAGCGCAACTATGCGCGAGTAAGTGAGGGTTCAAACAACCGATCAATAAGTGATATTTTACTGTGAGTCTTCTGTAAGACGGACGTCCTTAGAATTAGGAACTAGAAATCCGCTCTACCTCTGTAATACTACTATGATGTGACTTGGAGCAAGCACACATTCACTAGTGGCTCATGCCTTGATCACACGTACCGAGCAAACGAGCGAGACAGTGCTCTCGGCCGAGTACTCGGTACGTATAAACATAGCACCGAGTGCTCGGCCGGGTGCTCTTACATAAGTTTTACTTCCATCACTGTCTTGGCCGAGAAACATTTTACTGTCTCGCCCGCTTATTCGGTACGTGTGATCAAGGCATTAGTGGCAGCCACTAGATTTCTTTCGATTCGATTGGTGGCGGCGTCTAGTGGCTTCACTGGGCCGCTAGTTGCCGCGATAAAAAGAAGTGACTTTATGTGACTCAATGTGCGCTTGCTCTTAGGCACTTTGCAGACGACGGGGCAGGGCGGGCCGGTCAATTTCGCCGCGAATAATAGCACAAAGTGAATCCTATACTTCAAACGCACACAGAGGGCAAAAAGACCGCGCCTTGGGTGCCCGGCGGGCACTGGCGGCGCGGCATGTCCGTGGCTGCCCGCCGTGGATCATACAAACCAGTTTATATGCAGGAACGCAGACGGCGGCGCGGGGCGGTCAGCTCAATCCGCGCCACGCGCTTATTAGTGATGGACTATTCACTAGAACGAACGTCCTAAACTGACCGCCTCTGGCCGTCGTGTGCTTTGTGTACGGGGCGCGGGCAGCCGCAGACATCGACGGGCAGACGCGGTCTTTATTGCTTCGCGGACAAAATGCCCGCCCCGCCCCGTCGTCTGCTCAACGCCTTACAGTATAATGTTGTGGCAGGTATCATACCGGCGAGCGGCCGTACGCGTGCGAGGTCTGCCAGCGACGATTCCCTCACCCCTCGCACCTGAGGCGGCACGAGCGGGCCGTGGATTGTACCAAGTGGTATGTACATTCTCATGTGATGCTGGGGTATACGGATAGAAATGCTTATAATGATGAATGATATAATGATATATAGATAAGTACTAAGCTTACTTAGCCGCAATTTATAAAATGCAATTATTTTATCTTGTTCCAGGGCTAAAAAGTTTTAAAATGTTCCAGTGTGACCTGAAGATACGAAATACTCAAAAGAATGCTATTTTTTTAAGTTTGAAAATATGCGTAATAATTTTACAATGGATAGTCGTAGATTAGATATTTTTTTGCTTCAAGATTAAAATGTCTAACACCGCGAAACGTCTAATGAGCAGAAAGCCTAATTAGCAAAATGTTCATGTAGCAAAACGTAACCAACTCTCAGATGCCTAGATGGTCTATGAAGTCGAACGTCTATTTAGCAAATCGCTATTTTTAAAATCATGTCACAGAAAGTAAAACTCATTAATAAACTTGTGGAAATTTATTTGTTATAAAAAAATGTGTTGATATATACAGACATTTTGAAAATATGAAGATTTTCTAAATAGACGTTCTGCTATATAGACCGTTTGAGAGTTGGGACTTTATGCTACGTAGACATTTTGTTAATTAGGCTTTTTGCTCATTAGACGTTAAGCTACTTATACCTTTTTTATATATTGAATAAAATCGGGAGCGCATCAGGTGCTACTAAACTTGATCCTATGAAATTTGAACCTTGAGTACTGGATATAAGATACAAAATAGTCGCGGTGACTTGATAAGCTATTGAATGTACTTCCCATTAAACTTTGATATTGCATACAGGTATAGATGCAAATTAAACCAAAGATTATTTTGTTGGTCGTATAACATTCTTAAGGAGTCTAACGCATTTTTCACTTTTTACAGTATTTTCTTTGTGATATGATTTTCATAAGTGTTTTTTTTATATGGCAATCAGGTATTGTATACATCCTATTTTATTGTTTTAAGTATGGACACAAATTTACGCCGAGGCCTTGCTTACGCATTTGTTTTAAAAATGCATGTAAATATTATGTACATTCATATGAAAACCTGTGAGATGTTGCGTTATATGCAACCTATTCGTAATTTTCACTGATAAAGTTGTATTTCCTGTATATAACTATTGTGTATGAAATAAAAAAATATACACTTAAGAAGTTTTTTATTTATATAAAAATATTTTTTCACTTACAATGATCTTAAAACAAAAGCATTACATCATTATTATTAAAATATAATATAACATTCCTAACAAATCACGCTGTCAAACAGCACACCCAATCTGACTGACGGGGCTCACTCAGAGTGATTTAGCCCAATTGAGTTTTCGAATAATTTCGACCTTTTTTGAACGGGTATTCGTTTAATGCCGTTCTAACTTCATGACGGCTGTGAATTTAGCAGCGAGCACAACTATAGTGCAACAAAGATCTTTATGAAAGTGGCGAAAATTGGAACTAACGTTGCCATCTTTGTAAACTTAATATTTTTTGTCATTTATGTAGACAGTGGCGCCCTCCCAGAACTCACATTCATAAAGACCCTTGTCGCACTGTACGCGCAGCTTTCAATTCTTAGTTTTTTATTACTTCGTTCACTGCGCCGTGACTTGTGCTAACTTCACAGCCGTATACAAAGCGTGTTTTTTTAATTTCAAAATGCACATCTTGCGACGACGAGGACCTATCCGAAACGACAAAAACAATGTAACAATAATAAAAACGTGCTTAAAACTCGTTAGAAAAAGTGTTTTAACTTTTATAGAATGATTGGGGTACGTGAAAAAAAAATAGAAATAAATATTCGAGCTGTTCTCATCTCATAACAATATTAAAATCAGGGTTTTGCTCAACAGCAATATAGCAGCATAAAGTCAAAAGTATTAAAAAAAAACATAATTATGTAATAGTGTAAAATAAAAATGAGTTTCAAAACATTCAGATATTTCGTTAAAATATTAAGACCTTAATCATGGAAAACAGTCTTCATCACTTATCGACTTCAGGGACGTCGCACTCAGGGACCTCTTCTATTGCAATCGCAAAGAAAGCGACAGCATTATATCAGATCCAATTTAAAAAAGAAATGACGTCTCCGAGACCAACTGCTATAAACTTAAACCTGTCCCCTTAATTGTCTAACTGTAACTCCCATCACGATACCTTTCTATTTGAGGTTTGAAGTTTATTTAACAAATACCACAATTTCACTTGACCCTTCGGAATTCTTAAGAATTTGTTGTAGTTGAAGTCTCAAAAATTACAAAAAAAACACCATCATGTTGTCGCAGTCGTCTGACTGCGACTATATTATTAATTATCTAATTAAGGGGCAGATTTTGAACCATATCCACATACTCAACCTAGTTCTCTCCTGTCTTTGCATCGTATTTTAACAAAGGTACATATAAAATGTTTACATCGCATTTAAATTAAAATTACACAATAGCAGATTTCTAAAATAAAATTCCAGTTAGGTTATTCATTGGACTATTATATAGCAAATAGTCGCAATAACTGTTGAAGCCACGAAGCAACCATTTATCTAATATACAATTAAAAATGACCAGCACATAATATAATCAAATCAATCGTTTTAAAAATAGATTGTACTTCTTTTGCCTTCTAGACTCTTAACAAAAGTTATAGTCATTTATTTATCACTGAACAGTGCGACCAAGATCTTGTAGCGTGTGGCTAAAATCCTAACTAATTTGAAGAAATGAGAAATCAATACATAAATCTTTATTATGTAAAATTGGATTTCCAAAAAATACACTATTGTGAATCGTCCAAAAATAATTTATAAATAATAAATTTTCTTTACCACTCGTTATTGGACATAATTTTTTAGATGCCGAAAAAATGAGCGAATAAAAACTCCACAACATTAAAAAGACTAACTACAGTTGAAACCCAAACATTATTGTCTGTAATATAATTAGACACTTTGTAATAAGCTTTTTTAATAAGTGCCTTTAATAGCATTTTTGAATTTATTTTTGGAATGTGGTATTAATAAGCCTCTTATTTATAGAGGAAGGTATAAATATAAGCCTTCTATAATTCTTGTTACTCTTGAAATTATAACCTTCCTTTTAGTAAGGATATTTTTATGTACTTTGTAACCCTCATTTCACCAATTTTTCACCAGCAGCGCCCTCCTGTCAATGTCAACTAAATTTCACAAGATCTAGGGCACACTGTACCTATCTAATTCAGTATCTTGTTTAGACCAAGGAAAAACAAAGATTTCCTGCTATCATCCGAGGGTTCTATGACCTACTAGCGCTCCGATACTATCCGCAGAGTACAGCTTATAACTAAATCTTAAAAATCTATTTATTAAAACTCTTCATTTTCTCTAAGCGTCATGTCTTTCATGAAAGTATCCAAGCTGTTCGTGCTGTTGACGAGACTATCGTACGTATGGTGGTTGTTGTTCAACTGAAAATGTAGATTATAAAAATTAAAAATGTATGAATTTAGAAGTCTTTAAAAAGAGTTCGCTTACCCTCCAGACAATCAAATTACATCATTTTTAAATTAGAGTATAGATACAAGTATAGTCTGTTTCAGAGGCAGGCGGAAAAACGTACAATGACCTTATAGGACCAAACAACCTTTTTTTCTTTTATTGATAAATTGTATAATAAAAAATAATATAATATTTACATTATTTTTAATTTTTAGCATTAATCTGCTAATTTTAGATGAGGTGCTCGTTAGCGTAGTGGTTAGCGCAGCCGCCCGGATTGCGCAAGGCGCTTGTTTGATTCCCACCTGTTTTTATTTTTTCTAGTATATATTTACTTGAGAAAAAATATCATAATTTTTTCGTTTTCCGAAATATGCGACATCTTACGCTTCTTTCGTGGTGACAAAAAACTTTTAAACGGTTTTGATGTCGACGGGGCCGGCTCCATATCGCTTGAAAAACGATATTCGTTGTAATACAAAACCAATATAACAAAAAAACTTAACACAAATCGTAACAAACAAAATTAACATAAACTTAACACAAAACCTAACAAACTAAATTAACAATAACAATATTAATAACAAATGATCGAAATTAAAGGAACGATAAACAGAACCAACCACACGCGAGCGCATTCCAAAGCGGAATGCTTGTTGCTCCGCTCCCTCCACAATCCGCGTCCACGCAAATCCCAAACAGGTTTTTAAATTCTGAACGACCGCGTCGCTCAACTTACCCCGTACCACGAAACACGGTACGATGCTTGAGCGACACAGAAATATATGACGAGCGATACGTATCGTTTTCTGTCGACAGTAACATAATACTTCGGGCCAATGCCCTTTTTTCCGCCTGCTTTAGAAACAGACTATAGGACTTCTTATGTTATTAAATATTAAAAGTAGACCTTATGACCTTAGCATACTTCGATTTATTATTGCTTAGTAATTGAGAAAAAATATATCACCTTAGTAATTATCCCCGTAGTATGAGCACCACAATTTACATTTCTACAAGTTTTTTTAATCGCGTCTAACTGTCAAACTCTATAGTAATGTGACAAAAAATTGAGCGTGATAACAAGCTATATACCATATCGTGGTGCTCATTGTAGGGGAGCAGACTCTTTATTTATTTAGTACTCTTTGCCTCCTTTATGGGAAAAGTACAACAACGACACATGATAGAGAAGTGTACCCCAAGCGCGAACTTCATGCGATCCGTATTCGTATCGCCAACGTCAAAGTTTCTATGCAAACTCAGCAGCGCCCCTGTCGGACGTAAGAACCAACTAACATTTTCTATAAAAAAGTTTCAACGGTCTGTAGCACAAATAAATAATATAAGCAATATATTTTTCAAACACATGAAAATGACGGTTACAATAAATCAGCTCCAAAACTGTGTAAAAACTTTTTGCCCAATGTAACTTTATATTTAGCTAGGGTCCGTCAAAACGTAAAATAAGGAGCTGGCAAACAAAACGGTTTAATTACATAAAATTAAATTTTACAGGAGCTGTATAAAACTGAATGACATACTTACAGTGAGCATTTGGCATGGTTTTTAATTTATAAAGTATTTAGTTATTTTAACACTGGTGTCGAATCTGGCAGGATTCTCTAAACTTAAAACTTAATTTGACATCAGTCTGTCCTTTTCAGTCTGTATAGAGAATGACAGAGATACACTGTTGTCAAATTTAAGTTTGGCTTTAGAGAATCATGCCAGAATCAACACCAATGTTTTAGACGGTTTTGATTGAAAATTATATGAGATTCAAATTCAACGGGCCCGAAACCTCCAGATTGTAAAAAAAAAGTAGTTTGACCAGATGTGTAATTATACCGTTTTGTTCGCTAGCTCCTCAAATGATAGTAAGGCCGATAGATGTGCCCGGAAGTAGGTATATTGATTACAAGTTTACTTACGAAGTTCTTCACCCATTTGGACAGGTGTTCGGTGTAGTAGGGGTTGGTGAATCGCGCGTCTATCATAAGGACGGCGCCCCAATCGTTGCGGTGCCGCACGCAGCGACCCACGGCTTGATTCAGAGCCCTATTCGCGTTTATACGTAAGAAAACAGTGGTATGACTAACTAGTCAAGGCGAAAATCGCGTGTCCACTCTCGATATACAGGTTGTTAAAAAACCTATGACAAAGACTAAAACTACGCATTCTGTAGATCCAAACAAGTCATCATACAAAATATTATACGTGGGAATCATTTGTATTTTTAAGTTAAATAAATACAATGTTTTTTCCAGTACGCAATGTATAGCGCGGCAGGCTACTGTGTCGCTACGCAAAGAATGTGCCTGTGTGTATGTGTGGGTAAGTGCGTCGATAAAAAAGTTTCTAAATAACATTTTGGAAATATTAATGTATAAATCTTGAAAAAAAAAATTGTGACTTAGTATGGTAGAAGAAAAAAATTATCGTCATGATATGGCAAATACGTGGCCTTCGACTTCGTTAAAGGTTTCTTTACACCCTGTATGTATTTGGTCTTACCAAAGCTAATGATAACAGTCACATAAAGTTGACTACGAAAAAGGAAGACAGCAAGCAATGGTAAGGCCAATACCTAAAAGAACCGAGTGACACTCACATGAAATTGACAATTCCTTTGATTAAATGCCTATACGAACTATTGGCCACACGCATCGCTT